ACTGAATTCAACCCAGCACTTTAAAAAGGTGTCCTAAAGGCAAGGAACTGGCTTGTGCTGTCTGATGGCTTGTATACTCATTTAAAACATATCTATCAAGGAAGATGGATACAAGTGTATCAGCAATACTGAGGGGCTACACACACATCTTGTTCTTAGAACATTCAACCTTTGTGTAAATGTTACTTCTCTTGTTCTAAATTCTAATATTCCCTTAATCTTGCCATTTTGGATGCACACCAGTGATTTAAGTCTGATTCTAACATGGTGTCCCAGGTAACTGTCTAGTAAATTCTGAGCATGCGCCAACATGAAATCTGCTAATTAATTGTCCAAGCACAGATGTAGCCAAATGCTTTGCAATGTAGCTGGTTTTAAATGGTTGCCAGTAAGACTGGAGTTTACTTAATCCAAGCAATCCAATTTAAACATATAGCAGTTTTACATTAGCAAAGATCTACAGTGATGAGTTGGACTGAATAATCCCCTCTCACGAGGATCTTCCTTTCTTCTTCTCCAGCAGTCCTTGGACCTTGGTAGAATAGTAGCAAAAGGAAAACGTAGCAATGAGGGGAGAGAGAAGACGATCACCCATCCTGCCTTTTCCATCAGCCCATTCCACTAAGACTGCTTCAGCCAACCTCGCAAGTCAGGCATTGTATTGAACTGCAGAGAAAGAGCGGTATTTTTGGGTGGCTTAACAGCTTATATTTATCATTTTTTTCTCAGTAAATATTATACAACTATCACAGATTTCAAACACTACATGTCCTTTAATAATTGGTAGTACCAGCTGCTGTCTATAATGAGAACTTCATTGATCAGCAATTGATAGAAGCTTTTTGGTTTTCAAAGTCTGTCCAACTGCCACAATGTAACACATAATGTAAAAGTAATTCAAGCTTTAACTGAAATATAAATAACTAGCCTAATACCCATGTTTCCCTACGGTATTTAAGTTACGTAAATCCAGTTATGATACTGATGATATGAAGTCTGAAATGTAACATTTGTTGTAGGAATTCTAATGGAGAAGTTTGTAGTGGAAAAAATGAACTGTTCTTTTTCTCTACTGAAAGATCTCTCTGTAGAACACATTGGTGGTTCTGCCTTCAGGTGCTAGGATCACCAGGCTGCTAGAACTGTCCATTTAAGAAGCAGTCATCTGTTATGTCAACTCTTGCTACCTTCCACAAAAGTGATGGTCTTTCTACTTGTGTTCCTGGATTGTTTTGCTCACATATGGAAACTGAGCACCTCAGGGTGATCTCACTGGTACTTGGCCTGCGCAGTTCATTGCCCCACAGGAGTACGATATGCAAATATCTTCGCCGCATTTCTAAGTTGCCGCATCTGGCTCGATGTTTGCCAGCAGCTTTCTTGGGGGCAGTAAGAGGTGAGAGGGAGTGGTGATGCAGTGAACATTTCTTCAGGTTCATGAGGGAGGCACACATCAAAATGGCTCCTAGAGAGGTCCTTTACTATCTCCCCATGAACATTCATTAACTCAATTGCCATGCTGGCTTTTTTGAAGAATGTCTATTCAGGAGTCTTGAATCGCTGATTTCTGTAACTGTCCTCAACTGTGTGCAGTCTCTTCTGTGTTTAGATCCACAGCTGCGCAGAGAGAGATGGGTGCAAACAAGCAGGTTTTACCTCAGAGCTCTGAACTACATAGTTGACCAATTGTGGGGGGTAAGGAGGCAGCAGCCTGCCAGGAACATGGAAAACAATTTGGGGAACATATTTTGTCCCTTTTTTTACCCCCTTAGGGTACCCCCCCTTTTTTTACAAAAATGCTTCTCATTTATGTTACATTTAAAAAGTGGGACACAACTACATATTCAAAACACCATCCGAGCATTCAGATATTAAGCAAGTTCATATGAATCAATTTTCTAGAACCCATTGTGAGAAGTTAAATAACCTAATAAAGGAAACCATTTTTCTAAAATTTGGGGTATATTTCCATTGTGGATAGGAGTGTGGCTAAGCTGGGCAAGCAGCACTAAGGTGATTCTGCTGGGGTGGCATCCCTGATGGATTAAAGTACCCTGCTCCTGTTCCTACACCTGACATTAGAAGCTACTGTGGAGGCGGGGCTGGCAGGATTACTAACGTGTTACTGCTGGGGCGGCAACTCCCTCGTGGCTTTAAGCACCCTGCAACTGCTGCTGCACCTGACAGATAACTGCCTATCAGGTGTAGGAGGGGGGAGCATGTTTGAAGCCATAGGGGAGGCTGGGCCAGCAGCTTTCCTTCACCTCACAGGCAGTTGGCCACTCCTGATTTCCCCAACTGTCCTTAGCTCTCTGTAGTCCCCTGTAACTGGGGTTTTTTTTACCTCAGAACACTGAGCTCTGCAGCTGACCAATCAGAGTGGGGGGTGCAAGGAGGCAGCAGTCTGGCAGCCACATAGGAATCAATGGGGGGAGCCCATTTCCCCCCTTTTGACCCACTTAGGGGTTGAATTTCTAAAAATCTGTTCTTAGTGAGCATCTATGCCATGGTAGGAGCGCTCTCCCTGAATTTCGTGTTTCTAGGTCCAGCGGTTTGGCCTCGGCGTTGATTTTATGGTGAGGGGGCTTTTATATATATATATATATAGATGAAGCAGACATTTCTTAGAGCTATCATATCAGTGTACTGAAGTAATTTCCAAACTATGTTGTAGCTGAAAACAACAATGGTTGAATACAATGGTAGCTATGGTTGAATTCAAGGATTCTATTGCACTGATTGCGAAGTTGAGCTATCCTCCAGTGCAAGGGGCATTACTCCAGCAGAAACAGGCACACTCTACCAGTGAAAGACTCTTACTAGTAGAACAGAACACTTGGTTCTTGGCTGAGAAAATCCCTGGAGTTTGCAGTACAATCTGGAAAAAATACATTAAACCCCCTCCACCATAGAAGCAGCATCTGTAGCTTTCAAAAATTGATGCCCTGTAAAGATCTTAGTGGCTACAACAACAATGTTGCCAGCCTTCAAGCCTTGGTTTCTGTCAGGACAAGGAGTTAGGGTAAAGTAGCCATGGAAAGGGCCCTATCAATCCACTGCTGCTCTGTTCCTTCCTGACCATGAAAAAGGACTCATCAGGCCACACCCAGCAGTAACTACTAGATAGTTTTTTGCCACACAGTAGCTGCTACCACATAACTGAACTGAGCAAGTTGCTACCCCATGACTTCTACAACTTGGAGAGGCTGCCAGGGAAAGTACCAACTGAGAACCAGTGTTATGTACTGACTAAAGTGTCAGACCAGGATCTGAAAGTACTGGGTTTGTATCCCTACTATGCCATGGAATTTTGCAGACTGACCTTGGGCCAACCTACACTCTACCTCACAGAGCTGAGAGGATGAAACAGGAAAATACTATAAACTGCTTTGGGTCCCCACTGGGGAGAAAGAGAGGACATAAACTGAATTAGCAGATGACTGCAAGAACAGCTAAAAGGAAAATTGGTTAGCTGGAAACAGAGATTGAAGAAATTGTGTAGAGAAAGGGATACAAATCCAGGGACCTCATAAATCCTTGCATGTTCTCCACTTGTGTATTTCTAGTATGGCCACAAATATTATCTAAAAGCACTCTACAACTCATTTTGAAGTTCAGCTCTAAAAACACTTTTCCATATTAATAAATTCTACCTTTTGTTGTACTGTGGCTCAAACAGTAAAACTAAGGAAAGAACTTGCATTTTGAGATCACTTCTGTAGACCAGAATGTGTCTACTTGCTTAATGTAATCCCCACCCCCCCACACACACACCATTTCCCTTATTGAGACAGCCAAATCACACACATGAAGTTTCTCAGACCAGAAATATGGCTGAAATTAGAGCTATAACAGCTGTGGAAAGAACCAAAACATCTAGCTCAGAATGACTGGATACACTGCAGAGAAAGTGGCTATGTCCAAACAAAACAGACAAGAAGAAAGGCTTCCCATAACCTAGATGTTCAGCTTGCAGGTTCAGAAAGCCTTCAGCATTCAAATTACACCAACAATGCTAAGAAAAAGTCATTTCAAAAGACAAGATAACTAAGCACGTTTTTCTATCTTCCCCCTTAAAGGAAAAAAACCACTCACATATTTATGTCTAGCTCCCCTTGCCCTACCCCCCCCCCCAAAAATCCCAGGCACAATGTCAAGATGTTGATTTCCTTTCAAGTAGTCTACAAGGACACTTGATATAAGTTTACAGTGTTCTATGTGGCAAGACTCAGAGAAACATCAAATAGCTTTCCAGCAATGGAATCTTAAATGGAAGTACTGCTACCTGTTCTTCTTTGAACTGTGTTCTATGCAGTGCTCCCAATAAATTCTGGGATATACTTGTAAACAGTTTTCTCAAGACTCAGATGGGAAAGACCCCCCCCCCCAATAATCCAGACTTCTCTGAAATCCTTGCAGCTTTGCAGTATAGGTAATGGCCTAGCAACTCACCTATAGAAACACTGAAACCATAGCTTTGTCAATTATACAAGAAGGTGCCTCCACAGCATCAGCATGCCAGTCAGCTTTAGCAAAATTCAAATCTCCAATTTCTACAGCTTTTCATTCTGAACTGATACTACTAGTTGTTATGTTTAAGTTCAGTGGATATTTACTTAATTTAGATACTGGCAAAAATGTTTCCTACATATTAAAAAACAAACAGGTTAGAAGTAAATGTTTTATTCTTTCAACTAAATTCCAGTACTACAAGGGCAGTAAAACAATGATACACTGAAAAATTGCAGCAATAAACATTTGTTAGACTGAGAGAATAAATAAAAACTACAAAAATGAGAAATTATATAAACCCATTCTTAACCCCCCCAAAAGTCATGGAATACAGAAATGCCCTCCTTCACTATTTCACAGGCAGTACTGTGGGCTATTTTTTAAAAAAAGTTGTCCATGGATTACATTCTAATTTAACTGTGAATACAGCTTTGCAGTGCACAGTTATGAAAACCACACTAACTTCAGTCAGAAGTGTCATTCTACACTTTTATTTACACAACCAGTGAAGGGCAGAGTTCTAGTACACCAGCTTTAATCCTTTTACTTTTCAAACTTATTAACATAAGCCAAATTGTAATGATACAGCAAATGAGACCACTGGTATTAACAGGTAGCAAAGGTCCACATCCAGGTGGTATTGACATCAGGGAGCACTCCAAAACCAGTTGCTGCATAAGAGTGGTTGCCACTGACAAAAGCTTGAAGTAACCAGTGTATGTGGGGAGAGGGGGGAATATGGCATTGTTGCAAGTCTTTAAAGGACAGCTTGCAACAATAGAACAGGGTTTCAGGGCTGCCCACGTATGCAGAAAACATGATTCATGAAACATCTGAAAAGAAAAATAAAATCAAGTCAGGGATAACAGCTGACAATGTAACCGGAGACTGAATATAATTACTAATCAACCCACCCATATTATATATAGACAAAGGCAATTCAAAACATTTTCTTAACACCTAAAGTTTTAGAGAACAACCCCCCCCCAATTATTGTATTTACATAAAAACTATGCAACACTGAACCTTCATTGACATTCAAATATAAAACAAAATACTTACAACTTGCAGGCTGTTCTCCATATCGTCGCATGATTTGGTCATGCGTGAACTTCACAAATGCGTCATACTGTTCTGTGATCAGAGAGTAGTTCAAATGAGTAATCAAATAAAAATCACATTCACAGTGAGCTGAATCCTATCAATTTGTGCCACTAGTCTGTTCTTCCAGTTCAGGCTCATCAACAGAAGAGCTTCTTGCATCAGAACAAGCCTGCTGAATAAACTGATAGCCTCAAACCAACTATCTACAGCCAGGTACCCCAAAATGGCATTCATGGGCAAGCACTGGTGCCCATCAGTACGTCCTCTGAGTGCCTGCCAAACTTTTCGGAAAGTGGGTAGAGCCACTGGAAGCCAGGACTTGTTACTGGCTGCCCTCTTTCAAACAAACAGGTTTTCCATTGTAGGATCAGGAAACTGCTAAGGACCTATGTTTTCCTTAGTCAATGTGTGATTTCATTCCTTCTTCAGGATTTCATTCTTCCTAGGTGGTCCAAGGGGTGAGGTATTCCATTTGGTTCCACCTCATGTGACAGCTTTTTTGTAGTGGCACTCACTACCCCATTTCAAAATTCCAAGAGCCTGCATGCTCAAAAAGCTTGGGTACCACAATCTACAGCATGCAATAATAGCAGAAATTGCTGCAGCATTCAATCTTTAGCCACAGCTAAGTCCTAAATGTGGTTTCCTGGGAGCTACTTGTGCTAGTAGAAGAAAGATCTGGCACCCTTTGCCAACTGGCAACAGAAGCACATGTGCTGCTATTGCATGCAGGTGAACAGTAGCTGAGTGGCCAATATAGGACAGTGATGTCCTCACTGGTGCCAGGCATTGTTAAGCCCCTTAGCAGCTGTGCCCTTGGACAGCACTAGGATATCCTCAATGTTTCTGCTGAAGCTTTCAAAAGTACTGGATCCAAGTCTTTGTGCCATGCTCAGCCATGGCATCTGGAAGACGTTGCTTAATTGTGCCTGGGCATTGTTACAGTCTGCTAGCATCAGAGCCACTATATAATTTGCCACGAAAGTGTTATTATGGCAATTAAGGAACAGGTAAGTAAGCACAAAGACTGCAAATCAAAACACAAGCTCCTTTTTCAAATCCACCACAAGACAAAAGACCTAAATATTACTAATCCCTACTTCGCTATCTTCCCAACAGCAAATTTAAGAATGCAAGGAAGAAAATGTATTCTTGTTCTCAGTAACTATTTAGAGAACTAGGATAGCTGCAGTTATTACCAGGATCAATCTATGCTTTAAAAATTTTATACATTTCATCATACCTGCAAGTTTTGTGGTCAGGATTTCTTCATACTCTTCACGAATTTTCTCTTCACGTTCTTTGAGTAAGCGTTCACAGATCATTCCAACTTGTCTGAGAGTAAAGAGGGGCTGTTCTTTTTTCAGTGGTGATGCTGCTGCAGTTGAAGTACCTATGAATCAATATTTACAGAGATCGTTCAGGCATATGTTAATAACTGGCCAGATGCCTGCTCTGTGTATACAATATACTTCCAGACATTTTGAGAAATCTTATTATCAGACCTCATTAACTTGTACAGAGAAAGTTAGTTTACACTGTAGTAACCTTAAAGCCAATGAGACAAGTGCAACTACCTTTCTCTGGATCAGAGCTGTTGAGCAAAAACCTCTGAACTGTTCCATAAATTTAATAAATTCAGTAGCACAGGGCACAAGAGGTTTGCACCACAGAGACTAAAGTGTTAAAATCCATCTGCAACAATGTGCAGGTATAAACACAAAGCATCTACAAACCAATCTGTTTTCAAATATGTAAAATATGGCTTTTAAAAGAACATTTGCAAGGACCTACAGGTGGACAAACAACAGGCAGCAGGTTTATAGAATGTCCTGGACTGTGGCATTACAGCAAGCCCAGTCTTCCACCTAGCCTGCAGCTGAAGAAACTAAAGTTAGAACCACCACAGAAAAGAGACAGAAAAGAGTGCATGGGTGTTTTCGGTAATGTGTCATACATGCCACACTAGAATGCCCCCATCTCATACTTTACACTTTAATTATGGTAAACTGGTACACTTCAGTTACCCCAATAAATTGACTCTTATGGGCAATGTTAACTGGAAAAGTTCACATTAAGAACTTTTTCTGAATTTTAGTGCTATTGCAGTATGTTCCCCCACCACCTGCTTCTTTAATAAAATGTTTTGTGAAACTTACACCTTTAATAAAGGCGAAACTCAACCATCTGGAATCTCACCAAACCAAGTTATATAGATTTATTCTTTTAAAAAATCACCTGGCAAAGCTGGTCCAGTAAGGAGAAATGCTTGTGACTGTGCATCAGTAGAACAACAGGGATCTGTCTGCTGAAAGTTTTCTAAGTGTCTCCTCTTCTGCATGCGTTTGTACTCCTGTTTTATATTGTACAGAATTTGTTCTGGAAGAAAGCAAAAAAAAAAAAAGACTAACTGCTCAGTCTCATTTCAAATTCTCAGCATTTTACATTACTTGGTGACAAAATTCTTACAATAACTACTACAATATGTCATGACTGCACATATAATTGCTTTCTGAAACACTGAGGGAAACTGGGCCAGTTACACTTAAAATATTTTATTTGTTACATTTCTACCCCGCCCTCCCGCCGAAGCAGCTTAAAATATGTTTTAAGCAGTTAAATTAAAATGGTAAATTTGCATCCCAACTGTAATCTCTTAAATCCCAAGCACTCTTCCCACTCAAATTCCCAGAAGATAGGGAGTGAAGCAGTAGTTGCCATTAGTGTCCTCTGCTCCCCCCACGTTAACTGAATGAGATACTAGTTCTATGGTGACTTTCCACAAACCAGCACTAGAGGCACAGCATTCATTCTGCCCCTGGGATTTAAAGCCTATTGTTAAGGTGCTACTCTACAGTTGAATGCAACGCTTAGAAATATTAAAAATCTGCCCTTCAATTTTGTGGACATTTTCACCATCCTGCATTCAGGTCAATTGTCTGCTAAAACACTAACAGGACAGGTTACAATGTTCTATAAAGATTAAACACTAAAAGCAAAGAGAATAAACACAGCATGACTCATATACCATCCAAAAAATCGTCTGCTAAAACACCTGTGCTACCCATGCAATACTTATCTAAATCATCATGTGTTGCATGAATATTAGTATCTGTAACAAGCTTAGCTGAGCACCATGCTCCACATTGAGTAGCACACACATTGCTCCATGTAGTATAATGCATCACTGCATACTGCATATGTAACTGGCTTAATTGTACATCATTTGTGTTATTGCTCCTTCTGCTCCACCCTCAATTTAACAATGGTATTTTCAAGTACGCTGCCTACATTGACATTTATCTGCAGCCACAATAACTATGGCATCCCTTGCAGATCTGTATTCTCTCCCATCTCAAAACTAGCAAAGAAACGAAGCAGTCAGCACAGTATAACATTGGATCTTCGACGTGGTCTCTGCGCTTCACACCCATGGGATTACTGCGCACGCACTGGATCGATCGGCATTGTAGCAAGCTCTTTAACAGATTTTTGCGCCCAGTCCGTCGGGCATGCACAGGAACCCCACTGCGCATGCCCAGAGGGGTGGGCGCAGACATCCCACCAGTTCCTTTCTTACCGCTGTGTTGGAAAGACCTTTCTTTCGTCGGTCTGATCGGTTCACTATTTTTGGCCTTTGCCTCACGGCTCTTCGGATTTTTTCCTCACTTTTCGTCCTTTTCCTTACTATTTCCTTGTTGTTCTTTATAGAATTTTTTTAAAAACCCTGGTTTTTGTTGAGGGGGAAGTGTGGGTTTACCTCAGTCTGGCCTTTGGGCACCCCCCCAACCCCTTCTTCTTTTCTCTTTTACTTTGTTTATGGAGAACGGGGGGGGGGGATTTTTCAATCGTTCCAAGGGTTGCGGCAGTAAACTTGCTCCACCTGACCGTCACACCCTTTGCATTTTCTGTTTGGGGGATTTTCACCGACCAGAATCTTGTCGGCTCTGTGCCAGGTTTTCGAACCACACAAGGAAAAAACGGAGGTGCGCATCTTAAAGTAGCGCTACTTGAGTCGGCTTTAAATCCTCCCTCAGCGATGGATTCCGACAGACCATCCACGTCGATGGCTCCAGCGTCGAGGCCTTCCTCCGACATTGGCCAATCGACGTTGAAGCCTCCGGCATCGAAGGCACGATCTTCTGCTTCCACTCCGGTGAAGAAGCCAAAGGCCAGTAAGGAGCATAAGTCTGCAATCGAAGGGCCCCCCCTAAGTCAGAGAAAGTGGTGTCTGCAAAGCAGCGAAAAGTGGAGAAAAAGCGGTCTCTGCACTGGGTAATGCCCCTAACATGCTATCCACTCCAATGGCTGTATCGGCATCGGAGACCCATGCCCCTCCACCGATACCGACCATCCAACTCTTGGACTCTCCTATACACCAACTTGAGAGTTCCTACTCCGATATCTAGACGGTGGAGCTCCTGCTTTGTCTACCGGTCGTTCCCGATCCAGAAGTTGATCCCCCCCGAGTCTTTATTCCCCCCCACCACCTCTGTCTTGGGATCACCGCCAGCTGAGGTATCTCTATGGGGCCTATCCACCGTCTATGCCGTGGTTGACTCCGGCAGGCTATTCCGACTGCGATCGTTACTCGACCCACTCCGTCCACAGATCAAGGTCGCCTCACAGGTCTCGACCTTCAGCATCTCTCTCTCTTGACCTCCGAACGAGGATTCTTCTCAGCATAAACCGGAACTCTATTGTCCTCCCAACCCTGTCGTACCACCAAAGGTTTTTAACTACTCAAACTGAAGTCACTCCGGTTCAAATGCCAGATCAGGAATCCTCTGAGCCTGCAGAGGAGGATTCTAATATGGAGGCCTAGGCTCACACCTTCCCTGACCACAAGTCTCTAACCTAAGCTGTCGCAGATGATCTACCAATATCCCCATCCAACAATCTCACTTCTTATGCAGATCTTGTCAAAACATTCTCTAGGCCTCTCAGTCGTTCAACAGCAACCACAGGTTACAGATGCTGTCTTCGATATCTTGCAACTTGACACGTCAACTACAATAGCAGTGCCTATGTCCACAGTCCTCTTACAGGCAGCAAAAGCACCATGGGAGAAGCCTTCGTCAGCCACAGCGTCGACAATACGCCTGGACCACATGTATAGAGCCCAGGAGACCGGAGCTGAATTTTTATTTTCCCACCCTCAACCAAACTCGTTGTGGTAACTTCTTTGTCTAGGTCCAAACGAACACACTCTGCACCTTCTGATAGAGTAAGAAATTAGAAGCATTTGGAAGACCCTT